ACAGGTCAATAATAATAGAGAACTTATCAAGAGAATTATTGTTGCATGACGTCTAACTATTACAGCAAATAATATTATTGTCTTGATTTTTTTTATATTATCATTTTTAATTACTCTGGAATTTTAAGTTAGTTGTAGCAAATTAACCCATTATTTTCATTCTCATTTTCCCCTCAAAGCATTCATATAATAACAGTGACAGTACAATGGATACTCTCTCTATCATCACAAGGACTTTCATCTAAGTTATTCATAGTTCCCTATTGTAACAATGCCCTTCAGTCATTGATCATTCAAAGTTTCAAATCATAACACTAATTTTAACTCACCATTTGTAGTTTTGTAATATGACATTCATTCCTTGGAGATCCATGCTGTTATGCATTTCAATTAATTCATTCATCGTATTCTGTCCAATGCTGCAACTCATTACTCAGTCCATTCATCATTTACCATTTCATACTCTAACAATCTACACTTCCGTTACTCAACATCCAAAGTTGCATACCTGTAACATTTTTGTGATCAATCTTTCATCATTTGTAGCACCATCTGTAAAATGTTGCCCTTCCTTTATTCATCCTTGGTTGATCCTTACCACATGCATTCAGCACTCGATATCCCATACGGACATCTTTCACCTTTTATTGTTTCATAACATAACAATCTTGCCATTAGTCTTTCACCATTTGAAGTTCCATACCTTAAAACTTTCGCACTTCTTTCACAACCACAACCATTCAGCAATAAATATCAACCTTTTAGAGCTCTACCTAATTCAGAATCTCCATTTCCAACCACCAGCTTCCCCGGCGGATGGTGGTACGTGGCGTGTCTCTCTGCCAACCTCAACGGACCTTACCTTGGGGCAGATAACACCATTTCAGGTCAAGGGATAATATACAAGTCTTGGACAGGTCTCTCCTACTCTCTCAACTCGTCAACCATGATGATCAGGCCTGTGAACTGATTTCTTTCTTTCTTTCTTTCTTTTTTTTTTTTTTTGGGGGGGGGGGAGGTTGGCTTCTTGGGAGTTTAGGAAGGATGATCTTTATTATGAAATAGTTCTGTTTATCTTTCTTTTGTCTCATTACCTGCTAAAGTGAAAAGATGGCTGTATAAATGATAATGGTAACTGGATCTACCTATTTACATGTTATCTACTTATCAGTCTGTCTGTCAATTAGAATGCCTGTTTTATTTTCTTCTAAAGATGTTTCTTCTCACAGTATGTTGTGAAAATAAAGCAGATATTTATTGGCTGCCATGGTATCTTCACTGAACAAAATCAGTTTTTTCTGGCTTTTCATTTGAGAAAGGAACAGTATATTAGTCATCAGTTGCTTCTGATGAATAAATAATTCTGGAACATTAATAATGTATGTCGCACTAAGGAACTTTCATTCTTATCGCATACCAGACTGACATTTGTTTATTTTTGTGCTAAACTTGTACCAATACAGAGAATTAACTCATGATATCTCAAGCAGCCTACATTTTTGTGCAATTCTCAACATTCCCTTGTTAGCCAATTTTTTTCTACAAAACTCTTTTATCATAATTACCTTCTTAATTAGGAACACAGAAATTCACAACTTGGTACATTACTGCCTCAATTATATATAATATAAATAATATAAACTCTATATACACTACCAACTTTCCATCTATTTCATTATATAAACCACCAAGAAGAATCAAACCCCTAAAATATTCTTTATAATATTAACTCTTTCACATATTCACATTTGATGTATTCAAACTTTAGAAATGAAATATGTCAGCAGATAACAAATTCTGAGTGATGTTAAGAACATATACTACAAAATATCTTTCTTACCAGTTGTAGCACAGTATTAAAGATTTTTCATTCAAGAACCATTCAGATACAAGTTAACAATATATGCATAATTGTGAACTTGAATTCAAAGTTAGTTTTTGCTCTACTTTTAAATTTAGACTATTATCGTTAACTATTATTACATTTTACATTATCAGATAATAAATGCTGCATGTAATTTCTTTTGTCAACAGTTGTTTGAAAGTGTCTTAATAGTATTACATGACATTCTAGTCACCTTGAGTATTCCTTAAGAGACTATCATATATATTAAGATATATAATTCATCATTACACTGCTTTACTGAAGGAGAATTGACCTGATAGGTGTAGGCATAACAAATTCAAACTTCATATTTTAGTGTCACCTGCCATGTACCATTATTTCAATAAAATTACTGTTATGCTGCCTGCATTTCTACTTTACATTATACACCAACTGATACAACAATCACTAGTGTTCCCAGTTCTCGGTAAAAAGTGTGTTTGATTCTGTTCTCTTCACATCAAGGATTATTCTCCTTACAGCTTCGAAATCATGTGTACAGTGTATGAAAAAAAGAAAAGTTTCTTTGTTCTAAAAAAATGCTATGTGAGAGAGAGAGAGAGAGAGAGAGAGAGACAGAGAGAGAGAGACAGAGAGAGAGAGAGACAGAGAGAGAGAGAGACAGAGAGAGACAGAGACAGAGACAGAGACAGAGACAGAGACAGAGACAGAGACAGAGACAGAGACAGAGACAGAGACAGAGACAGAGACAGAGACAGAGAGAGAGAGAGAGAGAGAGAGAGAGAGAGAGAGAGAGAGAGAGAGAGAGAGAGAGAGAGAGAGAGAGAGAGAGAGACAGAGAGAGAGAGAGAGACAGAGAGAGAGAGAGAGACAGAGAGAGAGAGAGAGACAGAGACAGAGAGAGAGAGAGAGACAGAGAGAGAGAGAGAGACAGAGAGAGAGAGAGAGACAGAGAGAGAGAGAGACAGAGACAGAGAGAGAGACAGAGACAGAGAGAGAGACAGAGACAGAGAGAGAGACAGAGACAGAGAGAGAGACAGAGAGAGAGAGAGACAGAGAGAGAGAGAGAGACAGAGAGAGAGAGAGAGACAGAGAGAGAGAGAGAGACAGAGAGAGAGAGAGAGACAGAGAGAGAGAGAGAGAGAGAGAGAGAGAGAGAGAGAGAGAGAGAGAGAGAGACAGAGACAGAGACAGAGACAGAGACAGAGACAGAGAGAGAGAGAGAGAGAGAGAGAGAGAGAGAGAGAGAGAGAGAGAGAGAGAGAGAGAGAGAGAGACAGAGACAGAGACAGAGACAGAGACAGAGACAGAGACAGAGACAGAGACAGAGACAGAGACAGAGACACAGAGACACAGAGACACAGAGACACAGAGACACAGAGAGAAAGAAAGAAAGAAAGAAAGAAAGAAAACACTAGTGGTTATTAGTGAAAGAAATATAGCCTTATGCTTAATTTGTCAGCACATATCAGGACAAAGGAAGGAAAGAAAGAAAGAAAAAAATTACACCCCAGTAAGTAATTTCTGTAAACAGTTAATGTCTTCATCTGACTGAAAGTAAATATAATATATGTTTATTTACCTTGTACAATGACAAAAGCAAAGCTGAGTGAATGAAGAAACTAATGAATGAGATTGATATACTAAAAAACAACAAAACATAAGGATGTTCTGTTCACTAGCTGAATTTGCTGGTAAAAGAAGTCTCACCCCTAAACATTGATGGAACATGTAGTGTAATTAAAAACATGTTTCTGTGATCAATCTCATGGATGATTCAAGGAAAAGGGGGCTGTACTGGTGATACATGCTAAGGCATTCAGAGGGTATACATTAAAACTTTCACAAAATGTTTCTATAAAGTTGATGTATCTGGTGAGTATAAAGCTCATGATGTGTGAAACAAGATCTCGTACAATATTCACCTAACCCCCCCCAATCAAAATAAATAAATAAATAAATATCCTGTAGAAAGATCTTAGCCAAATACCTGACATCCTTGCCAAACTGCAAATTGATGAAGCCTCTATACCAACATCTTATACATATAATGAATCACTCCAAAGCACAACATACTAGGACTCTATTATGTAAGGGATGGCAGCTAATATACAACCTTTATATAGGCCAGTCTTTTGGATCTCAAAGGTGCTGGAAGTAATCTAAACTCAGAACAGGAGGATCAAACTGAAGAATGGATTGATGTACATAAGCCTAACTTTATTCTCTACTTTTTTTTTTAGATTTAGAGACTAATATTTTTCCCATTTTTGGTATCTGAACAAAAGGTTCTGAGTCAATACAAACATAAAACCGTTAAAAAGGTGGATGCTCTACAAACACCGAACAGCAAAGAAAGGTACACTCTGAAGTGACTTCTGTAATTACTTCAGAGACACTGATCACCCTATTAATTCAGTAACCAATTAGGGGATATTTTCAACTGTGTTTGTCTGAGTTGAGGAAGAAACCTGCAATGGACAAGGTATAAAGCTTGCCAAACAGTTAGTATTTCAAGTTTCTGCATTTGACAGTGCAGTCTGTACAGCAATAAGCTGTACTCATAAGCAGACCTTCTAAAAATAAATTGGTTATAATAATTTCATACACGACCACAAGGAAGCTTACTGCCTGTAATATGCATTCTATCCACTCTTAAGATATTAACATTATGGTAAATGCACAGGTTTAAGGTCGCTTTAATCCAAAAATAAACTACTTATCTACATACTATCTGATGAGTTTTATCAATTTAAGAGCCCTAACTTATTCAATTATTTTTATCAACCTCCTAACATAGAAGTTTTTAGTACACATAGGTATTCATTCAATTTTTTTTTGTTTTATAGATATTTCTGGGCTTTGAGAATAAGAAGAGAAAAATAAGTTAGTTTAAGCCATTGTTAAACATTAAGTGAAATGTAGGGTTCTTGCTAACCCTGACACAAGATACTGAAATGGAAAGTGAAAAAGAAATAGACAATAAATACAAGATACAAAGGGAAGCTTCTTCTCTCAGCTTAATGGCACCAAATTTTAATGAAGCAGCTTTGCAAATATATATTCTTGTATGGTGATTGAAGTTACACGGAAATAATAACAAGGACTAAAGCTGTTTGCCAAAAAAATAATTTGAGGTGAGAAAAAACACAGGTTTTATAAAAACAATTCATTTCTTCGCCTATTCATATAAATCTTATGAACTCGCAATTGCATAATACATAAATATGTTACATTCTCAAACATATGAATTACATAACACCTTAGTCGTCTTCGTCGCTCTCTTGATCCCATCCCTGTAGAGTCGGCTCCTTGTAGAAGTTCTCGGAAAGGACGCTCCACCTCGGCTTCTTCCCTGGGACTTCTTCGGGCTCCTCTTTAAACTCCTGAGAGAAAGAGTATACGATTAATCGAAATGCACGATGTTGAGAAATAATAATCTGCAAATCAGTTAAGGCTTAATGAGATAATGCTTATATTTACAAAAACTGAAGCATGGATATGATGCCAAACCAATAAGTTTCCTGTATAGAGCTTAGGTATTGAAGCTACTACCATTTCCATACATTAAACAAGATATCTACATGTGACTGACATGTTACAGAGCCTGCAGGAACATTGTGCTATGTGATGGCTAAGGGTCAATGGTTAAAAGCAAAATAAATGTGCTAGACATCTAAGGTCATGTAGCAACATTGTGCTATGTGATGATAACTAGAGATTAAAAGTAGGACATCCTATTACTAAAACATTTGTAGTCTCCATAAGAATAGAAAATTCAGGACCACACACTTCACAGGAAATTCTGGCCACAGGGAGAAAATCCCAGACTCATGACAAACAACAGATGAAGAACTTTTTGTGTGGCTTAGAACAGAGTGCTATTTATAAGCCAGTCACCCCTGACCCACTCTCACTCATACATTCAACACGACAAAACTACTCGCCTTTTTAACCTCGTCTTCAGAATACACGTCTTCCAGGTGTTTGCCTTTCCTCTTGAGCACCTTCAGGAAATCGTCTTTCCCAATATTTTCAAGTAACGTTTCTTTTCCAATGACGCTCTTGGTCTCTGCCAATTTCTTGGAGATTATGCTCTTGTGTTTTTCAATAGCGCCAAATAACTGTACGACTCCACTGAAAGACAAGAATATTTACTTTCAAAAAAACAACATATAATGTGCAAGTATCATAATTTTAGCATAATATGTACAAATATCTCTATCTCTCTCTAACTATATATATCTATATATAAGACATTACATTTTCTGCTTTGCTATAATTTCTCTCCTGCATGTGCATACAAAAATAATCAATGTTAATAAACATACAAACATAAAAAAATCATTAAAAAAAAATCATAATAATAATAAATAAATGAAAAATAATAATAATTTAAACAAAATAATAATAATAATAATAACATAAAATTATAAAATAAATAAATGAACAAATACATCACATATCAATAAACTCAATAAATGCATAAATACTGAAATCATATATTAATACAAACCAACGAACCAACAAGAATGCCAACACTTTTATTCTACTGAATCCTGACAAAACATTCATTTTCATTCAAAAAGGTATGAATGAAAATGAAAATCTTCACAATCCAAGAGATATATCTTCGTCAGAAATACAATATAATCGAAACCAGCTAAACACATCTCTAGTACTGTGAAGACATTCATTCTCATTCATACCTTTTCTGCATTTGTTAACACGAGTAAAGTTTATATAATGAATCCAACCTATTCTTGTACTTACTGCGTGGCAATAACCTTCAACGCTTTCTCCTTTTCCCGATTGTCTAGGATCGTTGGCTTTACGTGAAACTGGTTAATCCACGCTTTTCTCTGAAATAGTCAGGATTCTTTATTATTATTATCCTTATCATTATCATTATTGTTATTACTATTAATATTATTATTACTATTATTATTATTATTATTATTTTTTTTTTTTAATTGATAACTGGCCTATTTAGAGATGGGGGCATTCAGTTTTTAAGGGGGAGGGTGGGAGACTTTGCCTTCCATCTATCTATATACTACAAACTACTATCCTCAGTAACTCAGTAACTCAACTGGCACGTATGGCAAGAATACATACCATGCCCACTGTAATACAAGTTTATTTATTATAATTACACATAGATGGCTCTACAAGTCCTTAGTCACCAAGAAGTCAGTTATTAGTCCTACCTATCTCACCCTTTCCTGTTTTGGAAAGGGTCTTCTGTATTATTTCATTGTTTTAAATATACCCAAGACTTTAATAATAACTTAATAAGCATAACATTAATAACAGTATCGATATCAATTGTACTAAAAAGAAAAAAATATTTTTCCGCCAATTCAAGGAATGGGGAAATCAGGATTGGTCATTTGGGCCTACTGATAGAATCCTTGCTGGCTGAGCATATGTGGAGCCATCTGTATGTAACATAATTCACAAAAATAAATTCAGGGGATAGAGAGCATAAATCTGTGGTGGTTGGATTAATGATACAGTAAGTTATTTATTATCTATGATGTAGCTATTACCTGTGCCCCCGACAATTCAATACAGAGAACTTAAGAGAAAGAAAGAAAGAAAGAAAAAAAATAGCATTGGCATCTTTCATAAAGGTAACTATCATAGTCAAAAAAAAAAAGAAAAAAAAGAAAAAAAAAAAAAATAATAATAATAATAAAAAAAATAAATAAATAAATAAATAAATTTAAGTGGATGGAAAGGAAATATTAATGTGAACAAAAAGATAAATGAACAAACCTGTAATTGTTTCTGATGCAGTGACATTCTGACTGCATTCTTTACCTCTTCTTCTTTCACTACTTTTTTAACATTTCCTTCTTCGTCTACAACCTCAAAGTCCTCGTCAAATCGGACTCTCCTGTCATCATCTTTCTTGGCCTTTGTGAGAATTTCTTTGCCCTTTTTCTTTGACTTCAAAATCATGTTTAGAACGTTGGCTAACCCCATGCCAGCCTCTTGCTCGCCGTCATCTTCGTCATATTCGGAAGCGCTGTCATCGTCACCGTCATCTTCGTCCTCGCCCTCTTCCTCCTCCTCTTTTAAGTCATCAGAGTCAGACAAGTCCTCTCTTTCTATTCTCACTTTCTGTTTAGTCTGGCTTTTACTCTTCGTTTTCTTCTTCTTCTTTTTTCTTCCGTCATTCTCCGACACAGACTCCTCCTCCCCGCTGCCAGACTCGACGTCACCAAAGTTGCCGTCCCCATCGCCCCAGGCCTTCGCGTTCTGCTCCCATTTACTACCTTTCTTCGAGTTCTTAGCCTTCAATTGCTCACTGTCACTGTCCTCTTCCTGTTTGATCTCCTCTGTGAAGTCGTCCTGTTCCATTTCCACGTCCTCTAGCGTGTCATTCCAGTCTTCTACTTCCTGCTTGATGTCCTCCAAGTCATCCCCCGGCTCAAAGTCGTAGTTTTCTGAGCCGCTGTCGACCTCTTCGAGGTTGACCTCCCCGTCGTCTGACTCGAGGTGCTCCTCCACCACCCTCGGTTTCTTGACTTGCCGTCCATTTGAAACAGCCATTTTGTCGGAATCTGGAAATTAAGATTGTTTAATTAAGTTACTATACATGAAATTAATCATGTTTAATAAAGGGAGAGTGCTTTTGGCTTATACAGCTATGCTTTACAGTAAATCACTGAACTTAAATGTGCAATGTAAAATTTAAGAATGTTTGCTAGTTTATAGTGACAGATATATGATTACAACCACAACAGAAGAAAAATAAAATGTTTTGAACTTGTCAATGTTTGGGCTTTTTAATGTAAGTCTACAGGTATCTAAAACTAGTCTCCATGCCTAAACTACATCCTCAGTTTTATATGCATTAAAAATGGTAATGATGGAATCCTTGCAATGTCCTTTAAAGTGGTTTTAGTTGGTGCCAGCTAAAAATAATGACAACACCAGAAACCCAAGGGGGGGGAGGGTATGAAGTATCTCTCAGATATTTCTGGGAATATTTGTGAAATATGTGATATGGTTTTATGTGCTTCTGTCATTGTAAAGAGGCAATTCCCTCTATACTCCCCTTATTATAATTATTATAATTATTGGGAGCCACCACCTTCCACAAACCCTCTACCAGAGATACAAAATCACATCTGACTAGCAAGATGGAACCTGAAAAGACATGTGTAATTTCAAAACTCAGCTAAGTTATCAATAAAAACTCTTTCCCTCATATGTGATGAAGCTCCCAGTATTTTTTCTAGGGGACACAAACAAGTTTTTCTGACAAAAATAAATTTGAATCTCCAACATTCATGACAATAACCTGCCCAAAGAGATGAAGAATTGTATTTAATTTGTTTATAATTATAAAGCTGTCTCATTTCAAAATTTCACATTTTTTTCCTCAACATTATAATCTGGATTTATGTATCTACTGCTCTTAAAAAAAATGTACAGCATTTATTTAAATTTAGCTGTATCATTGTTAAATTGATCAATTCCATTGGAAATATGTACTGATATGTTAAAGCTAAATTAAGACTCTATAATGCCTTACTTACGTATCCACTGGCTTACCATACTCATATAAAACTGAAATATAGAGAGAAATGTCAAGGCCATTTACTTCTCCAGCAGCATTTCTGTATCTGTAAATGGTCATGACAATTTCTCTTTAATTCTTTGACTAAGTCGCCTAACAAGCAAGACACAGTGATTGCTTGATAATGCACTGCTACAGGTTTAAGACTTCAAACTGTATGGAAAGTTCTAGGTCTTGGACAGCACATAGCCAATACAATTACATGAAAAAATTGTTTTACTGGAATGTTTTCAGTACATGACAATCACAATTCAGTACTGGTTACCTAGAGCGACACACCCTCCAGAAACGAAGTCCCAAAACCAGGGTATTATTCGAACCCAAAAACCCAAACCAAACCTTTCCTACCTTCTACTTCTTCCCTAGACGGGGGCAAACCAACTAACAGAAAGTATGACATTAAGAACTCTGGCTTTGTGAGGGTGTTGTGGACCCAGCGCCTCCTTGGTAGATCAAGAGAAATACCAATACACTGGATTTTTTTTCCAGTAATTGGGAGAGCCATTCAGACTTCCGGCAAAGCTAGTCTCTGAGTGGTGACATGTATGAGGTCGCTGCAAATGTACCTGCGTTGCGTATGACTATCTTTTTATGCTCTGGAAGATGGCAGGGTCTATTTCCCTCTGTCTCTGTGCGTCTCTCAGAGTAACATTGATCTAGAACTTCAGTAGAAAGAAAAAGGTTTATGATACTTTTCTTCCTTAATGAAAGTTCCGCTAAATAAAGGAGATACTCATAAGATAGGTTTGTGTGATAAACATTTCCTGCACGTGAAAAAGACATCTTTCCTTTGCCCTCCACACACCTAACAAATAACAAACAAATCCCAACACACGATAATTAATAAAAAATCCCCAAATAAAGAGAATAAACCTTCCCACCTGTGCCTCACTCACCCCCGTCCTCCCTCGACATTACAACAACAACCCCCAAAAACTCTCCAAATACACCACAACCACACAATGAACCCAACCTAACAGTAAACCCTTCCCCAAATTACACCCAAGAGAAGAAAAAACAACCGAAAACTCAATAAAAACTCCCCCTCGCGCCTCACCCTCGTCTCGCTCGGTCCTCGCCTCACATGTTCCTTCAAAACAAACCCCGCAGACCAGGACCCGCGAGGATAACAGGACTAAAGCGGTTTCAGTGTAAATATTTCTTTTACTTTTTTTACTAGGGGAATTGGATGTCGGTATTGGGTAGTTTTTACTGATTTTCATATTTGTGTTTTTTGGGTTATTTGGTATATCAGTATGGGGAAGATCTTTAATACAATAATTCTTTGGGGGGAATTGAGGTCTCACAGGATATTTCTTGTGATAAGGGATTGTTGGGGGTTCTATTTTTTTGTATATCATGTGCATTCTTATACTATATTTTCACCTCATTTCTCCATCGATTCAGTATAAGAATTTATTCCATATAAGAACATTTATCTGTGATGTCCCAGACGACAGTCAGGAATTGTGAATGGTAACATTGTTCGAATAAGTAATAGTTGTTTTCATAGAAATATCATTCAGAAGATTCTTATAGCTTATTTTCTTTCAAAGCGAACATTCTTAACATTTGTAATGGTAGTCCATAACAATAATTTTCATTGGAAATCGTTCAATCTCGAATGACATTTCACAGCAAAGATAGGAATGTTCAAAGAAATCCTATAATCAGTTGCAATGTTTCACTTTTAGCCAATAGATGGGAGTAAATATATCTTCCATTTGATTCTTATAATTATCTTAACAAAAAAGAAACAAAAGAAAATACCAATTAGACGAGCTAAAATTCCCACACACCAGATATGACATATATAAGATAAACTCAGATGATATAAACCGTATAATGAAAAATATAGTACTACTTATAGCTAATAGATGTCGCTGACGACCATAGCAAGTATCACACGCTGTACATGACTGTCCATGATAAGTGTCCCATCCTCCACTCATACACTTTCTTCAGTGTTTACAAACATTGTCTCAGATTCGAAGGAGAAATAAAGGTGACGTTTCTTGCCTTTTTGTCACATTTTTTTTTTACATTACTGGTATGTTATTACGTCAGATGGATTCATTAATGCAGATCTTATAGGCTTACTTGTAGAGGCTTGTTAAGAAGGAATAGATGGAGTGGAAGAGTTAAAAGAGAGATTTTTTTTAAGGGGAAGGTTAGGTCAAGTGGAAGTGACCTTGCCTCTGATATATATTTATTGTCTTGTTTGTCGACGCATTTGGGGTATTTATTGTTCTGTCATGTCTAGAATATGCACGGGGAAGCTGTCTTGGCTTGTGTCAGTGTGTTTATGACAGTCGTCGAGTCAAGGTGCTGGGTAGAATTGTACTTGTATCCTCTTTGAAATATTAATTATTGATATTATTATTATTAATTTAATTAATAATTAATTTATTATTAATTTAGCAACATAATCTAATTTGGTGGAGTGATATAAATTTCTCACACTGTATAAAGTACATAATCTTGAGTGTCGTATTTTCACATTATTGCATATTTTATAATTACAGTTATGCTTTAGAAATGATGGGAAATAAAAGTTATTTTTGTAAAAAGAAGTTACAGTATTTTGACAATTAGTCTAATCCAGCTGAATTGCTGGACAGATGACTGTTCCTACTTCTAGTGAATGTATATGGTTTTCTTGGATATGCAAGGTATAGGATATAAAGGAATGAAATTGTAATGATGCTCAGATGGTATTAGAGAAGTGAGTGGAAATTATCATATTCAAATGAAAAATGAAAACTTATTAGAGCAAAAAAAGTTGACACAGAAATTCCAATTTTGTTATCCTTATCTTTGTGACTTTAACCCCTTGGTGCCGGGTATGACGTGTACGTACGTGCTATGCCCACCGTGAGTACTTGTTTGATTGTTTTTACGCATAGATGGCAACACTTGTACTAACTCCCCAATGAGCCAGTTACGAGCACCGCCCGTCTCGCCCGTTTACCTGTTTCTTTGATTTACAAAATATTTTACGTAATCTTATTTTGCTGTTACTAATGTTAAAAAAAAATTATAAAAATTATAATGTTTGTGATAAAAATAACACCATCGATTTTCAAGAGCAATAGTGAAAAATACGTTTTTCCCGCCATTTAAATCAGGCGCTAGCAGAGCCATCTATCGGCAGACATTTCACGAAAAACATAGAAAGTGGGCACAATATTTTCCCCATTTTTTGTTCATATTCCCCGGCACCATTGGGTTAATCTCAGAGAGGATATGAGAGTGAGATTCTAGCATGCAAAATATTTGTTGTTGGTGTGGGGAAGCTCTTAGTTTCCTCATGTTTTCAGCAGCCATGGAATGACTCTTGAAGGTGCAGGATGTGTGATGCTCTTCAGTCAAGTCAGTGATGATTTACCCAAGAATGATGGTCATATGTGGCCTTAAGAATCCACTATAAGAAGCAATTTTATGTATGGTGCATACTAATTGTGCTATATCTATAAAAGCATTGAAGATCAATGAATGCATGTGATTGGTTGCCTCACACATTACCGTCATTACTCTAGTCAGGTGAGATCTTAAT